CGAGCCCCTATCCCCCGAATCCGCCACAATTCTCCTTTCCAATCCCCCCTTCACAGACTTCCAATCCCTCCTCCCCCAACTCGGCGACCTCATCTCCTCAACCCTCCACACCTCGGCCGTCTCCCTAGCCCGCATCGCCAACCCGACAACAAACCCCTCCTTCCTCCACCGCGCCGTCCCCGGCCTGCAAACAACCTACCACAAACTCGCCTCCGACGTGTCCCAATCAAAACTCGCACTCGCCCAGGAACGCCTCCGTGCAGCAGATACCCTAACACAATGCCTAGACGAGCACGCCGCGGCGCTGACGCTCCTGATTAGAAGCCTCGAGGCCAAACACGGCGTCGTGGCGCGGAGTCTCGAGTTTCGCGCCGCCGAGACGGGGCTGGAGGCGCAGAGGGCCGAGGCGGATGCCGTGGCTGCGAGGGAGGGGGTTAGGAGGGAGGTGTATTCGCCCGAGATGGTGGCTGCGCTGACGAATTATTCTGCGCATTTGCGGGATGCGAGGATGAGACTTGAGGGGACCTTGATGACGCTCCGGGCCGAGTTGGAGGGGTACGGGGTCGGGGTTGAGGGGGAGGAGGGGAAGGCGAGGACGATGAAGGAGATGGCGAGGAAGAAGAGGCAGATGGAGAGGGAGTTGGAGGATGCGAGTCGGGATTTGGCCAGGTTGGATAGGGCGTGATTAAGTATCATGTGCCGATGGGTGCGAAGTTTGAATTCATGGCAAGCAAGCAAGCGATTGGACATGTTTACATTGAAAGACGTGTCGCTATATTGTACACAGCTGGAATGCATGTGTGGTCTACCAAGGGGTGCCCAAACGTTCTATGTCCACCGGCCATTCTAACCTTGGCTGCGCAAAAGAGAAGACCTCTCCCTCTTTGGTTGTACAAAACCCCCCTTTTTAGAAAACCAACTACCCTTTCAACAGAACCTCGTGATATCTCTTGGAGAAATGCAAGCTGGCTCAGAGCACCTCTAGACTGAGACTCGCGTTGGGACAAATCGCAAAAAATATTCACACTGGCAAGATTTAACCCTTGACCTTGTAGATGGACTCGGCGAGGCGGCCAACGTTGCCGCTGGTGATACCGGCGACGGAGATACGGCCGTCCTTGGTGGCGTAGACGGAGTGGTCGTTGGCGAGGGCGTCCATCTGGTCCTTGGTCAGGCCAGTGTAGGCGAACATGCCGATCTGGCTGGTGATGTGGGACCAGTCGTGGGCGGAGCCGAGCTTCTCGAGGTTCTCCTTCAGGAGAGCGCGCATGGTGATGATGCGGTCAGCCATGCCCTTGACCTCGCCGAGCCACTGCTGGTTCAGGGCGGCGTCGTTGAGGATGGTGGAGGCGATGCGGGCGCCGTGGACGGGAGGGTTGGAGTACAGAGGGCGGACAAGAATCTTGACCTGGGAGTCGATGCGCTTGCGCTCCTCGGCGTCCTTTGCGACGATGGAGAAGGCACCGACACGCTCGCCGTAGAGACCCATGTTCTTGGCGAAGGACTGGGCGAGGCAGATGTTGTGGCCCTCCTTGACGAAGTGGCGGACGGCGAAGGCGTCGGTGTCGGTGTTACCCGAGGCGAAGCCTTGGTAGGCCATGTCAAAGAAGGAGTAGTGGCCCTGGGCCTTGACGACGTCGGAGATCTCGCGCCACTGCTCGGGGGTAGGGTCGACACCGGTGGGGTTGTGGGCGCAGGCGTGGAAGAGGAAGATGGAGCCCTTGGGGGCGGCCTTAATGTCGGCAACCATGCCCTCAAAGTCGAGGCCGATGGTCTTGGGGTCGTAGTAGCGGTACTTGTTGACGGTGAGACCGGAGTCGCTGAAGACGGCGCCGTGGTTGGCCCATGAGGGGGTGGGGATGTAGATGTTCTTAGCGCCGGGGAAGAAGCGGGCGAGGAAGGCGCCTCCGATGCGCAGGGCACCGGTGCCGGAGATGGACTGGGTGATGGCGAGGCGGTCGAGGGCCGAGGAGTCGGCGCCGTAGGCGAGGACGGCGGCGGACTTGGTGAACTCGGGGACACCGGTGATGCCGGCGTACTCCTTGTTCAGCTTGGCGGCGATGACCTTCTCCTCGGCGGCGCGGACGGAGGGGAGGACGTAGGGCTTGCCCTGGTCGTCGCGGTAGGCACCGACACCTGTTGTTTGTCTGCGTCAATGGGCATGTTCATTGCGGTGATGATAGACGTTGTGTGCTTGTAGTTGACAGCTGACGGCCGGCTAGCGTTGTAGCTAGCAAGCTTGTGACAGCTCTCTAGCTAGGGTGGTGGTTGTGGTTGTCAAAGTGGCTTGGCGGGGGGCTTTGCGTACCGAGGTTGATCTTCTGCTCAAACTTGTCGGCCTTGAAGGCTTCCGTGATGCCTGTTCGTCTATTGTCAGTCATGGAGTTGAGTCAACCGGCGAAGCTCGAGGGAGCTCCACCCGAGCAGGTGCGTCATACCGAGAATGGCCTGTCCATTGCGAAAAAGTGGCCAGTTAGCAAAACAGTTCGTTGTGGTGATTGTCGGGATTCTGTCAATCGGCGCATCAAGCACTTACATCCTGCAGTCTTCGTTAGCATTCGTGGCGCATTCAATTGGCATCTGGAGTGTTTGAGACATACAGGAGGACCTTGAGGGACGTTGGCCCAGGTAGAGCCGGCTCTCGCGGCCGTGACGGGCAGAGCGCCCATGCGGCGGGCGGCAGCTTGCCGGGTTGCGATTCTGGTGGAGGACAGCATCTTGATTGTCTTTCTCTTTCGGGGATGGGAGAAAAAAGATGTGAATGGAGGAAGAAAGGGAAGAAGAGAGAGATGTGGTTGAGAGGGGAAGGAAGAGAAGGAGAAAAGACGTAGCTTTCGCTGTTGGCCGGCAGAAAAAAAAAAGGATCCCAGTGAGGTAAGGACAATCCGTAATAACTTAAGGTGTCCAAAGATTCCGAGACAGCGAAGTGCCGAAAGAGCTGCTGCTGCTGGCTGTTGGCTGCTGCAGACGGGGTGGTCCAACCAAGGAATGGGCTGACTTGTGACTGTACCAGGTGCGCCTTGCCCGCCGTTTCTGCCATCTGGGGGCATTCATGTGCTGGGGTGCTTGGCGACCAGCCCTGAATTCAATCCAGTCACATCCCAGAACTGTTCTCATACTGACCCAGCCCCAGCAACTGCACTGAGCAGAGAGGGGGGTGTGACCCCCAGTGCGGTGCGACTCCGGACCTGGAGAAGGAGAGGAGGAGCATCGTAAGTGGACCGAGTCATGAGAGGACCCACCTGCATCGTGCAATCGCGGGGGAGCGGATTTACTGTATTGCCGCTACCCGCCACGGGGGGAGGAATCCCGACGCGCCTTCCACGCCCTTGACGCCCACGATGCGTCGATGCCCCTTCCCCGGCCCGCTGTTTTTTGACTGGAGCGCATGCGCGCAACTTACGCAACGAATGAACCCGTCCCTGGTCCTTCCGGCTTCGGATGTCGCCGCGGTTGACCGTTCTCAGCTCACTTCTTCCGCTCGACTCAAGCAGGAGCTTCTGCTTCGTCATTCCAGGGTCAACTGTCTGTCTCGGGCGGTGTGTCTCTCTTTAACCTTTGGTCTTCCCCTTTTGCTGGCTGACGCGCGCTGGTTACTTCTATTCGCTCGCTTCAAAGGAGTTTCTCCTGTCTTGGGGTCTGTTGTTTCTTTTCGTTCATACTTCCATTCTTTCTGCCTCTTTTGAGCCTTTGACACTGCTGGAAACGATCCTGCCTGGCACGTGTCTGATGCAGTGTTCGTCAGGCTTGGGCGGTTAGAATTCCCCTTTTCGGCCTTCTCTCATCACTATGTCACTCTAGCCGACATCGTATTAATGCTAGCACTTCCTAAAACTCCGAAGAAGCAAGCATCGCCATCAACTGCTAGAGCTGTCAAAGCACTCTTCCATTGACCTCTGCAAGGGATGTTACCTATGACTTTCCGTCTTTTCCCCGGACTAAAGGAACTGTCCAATGCACCTCTGCTGCGGACGAACGGCCCCTGGGATGATGGTTCGTAGCTGCATCAAGGTCCGTGCTTGCATGCTGTTGTTCAAATTGGCTTTCTACTTCGCTTGCAGTCAAGATCATTCAAGATCGCCACGACCTGAGGAGCCTCATTACTCCCTTCATCCGACCTCGTGGCTCCTCCTTTGATCCCAAGTCTCGAATCTGTCCTTTTATGTTACTCAATGCCAGAGCCTTGGCGACATGGGAGAGAAGATGAGTCATCTACTGGGATTATGAAGCTCAGAAGCCGCTCGCTACATGTAGCGCGAGAGTTGAGGCCTCGTGGACTCGAATTGCACGGAGAGCGTAGACCGAAATGATCGATTCAGGCCATCATCATTCTCTAATACACCTTATCAACCACGCAAAATCCTCCTCTAATCATAGCCTGATTTTATTCAGCAGGATGAGTAATTGCGTGTTTTTTGTGTATGGTAATCGTCTCATTGGACTCGCTTGGCATAGCAAAAGTAGATGGTGGTATTAGTGCAAATCCGTGTGGTTCTCCTGAACCACTTCAGGTACGTCTTTCACGTTCCTCTAAGATATTATTCAGAACTGACGTTCAGGATTACCTATTGACCCTCGTGATGCAAGGCGTGTCTTTCTCGTGTCAGAATTGCCCATCGCACGGCGACTTAGAGCCACCAAAAGACCTATCCAATAGTTTGCAAAGAAGCCGAGGATGATCGCATTACCTTACTTCGAGAAGGTGCCGAGCTGCACGTGTGCGGCGTCCAATCACGAAGCCTCTGATACAACGAATGAGATCGTTTCTCTTCAAAGGCGAGCCTCAACATTTCGAGCCCTTTCGAGGAAAGTGCATGCCAGCCTGATCTTGATACCTCCACAAACCACCCAACAGCGTCAGCAGGTAGCCTGATTTCTTCACCGCAGTTTTCTTCGCAAGATAAAAAGCACTGTTGGTCAAGGCATTTCGTCAACACCTCATCGATCTCCCCGAGAGCTACCGAAACATTTTCCGCCATCGCTCGCAGTTTTGACAAAATATGGCGGCCGAGAGCGTGGGCCTGGCAGCCTCGATTGCCGGCCTGCTATCTCTGGGCTTGCAGATCACCGGTGGAATCGTCAAGTACATGGACGCCTTTGAGGACCGTGACGAGGAACTACGAAACGTCAAGAAACAGAATGACAATCTGGGGGTCACGCTCCATGCGATGAAGACGGTGTTGGCTGGGCTACAAGGCCACAGTCCTGCAGTCGCCGCTGCAGTAGATCAGAACATACGAAGCTGCGAGGAGGATCTCCGTGCCCTCGAAGCTCTATGCGTTGAGCTTTCTGATCACGCTGGCAGCACCTGGAGTAAACGGCTGGAGAACAAGAAGAAGAAAGTGACTTTTGCGTTCCATCGACCCAAGCTTCGAGATCTCGAGCTTCAGCTGCAAAAGGCTCACAGTACTCTGCAGTTGATACAGGGTAGCTTGGGACTGTGAGTTGATATAGACTTTCTTTCGCTTCCCACGATTTCTGACACGGCAGTAGGGAAGCCTCGAACAGGAACACAGCTCTGCTGGCGGCTATCGAGTCGAGTTCTCGCGGCCAAGCTTCCGAAATGCTCCTAGTCCGGTCAGAAGTAGCAGCATTCGCTACGCCGATGGCCGATGTCAATAATAAACTGCAAGGTCTACAAAGTGTTATGACACAAACTGGACAACTTGTCATGGCTCATTCCGGGGCGATCGAAAGCGAGATTCATGAGAGCAGCCAGCGTGTCAGATATGACATTCATCATTCACACAACTCGATTTTAGACCACCTCAAGACAATCGACCACAAAGTACAGCTCCTGGGAGAAGAGAATAGTTCTTTACGGGCATTGGCTCGCAAAGCGGCCTCCAAGCCGGCCGTACTCAAAAGTTTGTGCGATGACATGCAATTGTCAGGAAAGTACTGCAACCAAGGCAATGCTTCAAACAGATCAAAAATGCATCGAGAGATTATTTCATCAGATTCATCACTGAATTTTGGGACTGCAAAGCAAGTTGGCAAAGTATGCATCTGCCCGCGCCCCGAAAGATCGTTCATGCAAGTGCAGATGCAGCGGGGCTACACGCACCTGTCCGGCGAGTGGGAATCCCAAGGCCATTGGTCAAGCTGCCCACTCTCAAAAACACCGAGGAAGCAACGACTCAAGGCAAGCTTAAAGTACACCGGTGTCTCTCGTCTTCTGAAATCAGTCATCGAAATTTCCTTTGCTTTGACGTCCGGAGCTGGGGGCTGCAGCATCAGTCCCAGCTTTACCTACTATCCGACTGCTGACGTCAACTCGGATCCCGCTTTCCGCTTGATTTACTTGATGGATAGAAGCTGTGATGCGGAAGATAAGTTGACCTTTCTTAGCGCTTGCTTGAGAAAGCTGGCAAAACTTCTTGAAGAAAAACGAACATACCCAACAGTGGTGGACGATGAAAATATGACCTTGATGCACCATGCTGCTTTCTTAGTACGGCCTTCCTCCCCCGAAATCAAAGCATATTGCTAAAGCTGATTAACAGGTAAGACACATGCCCATGTACAATTCCAATGGGTCCTATCACAGCGAAAGACTTGGCGAGATAAAGACGGTTACGGAAATCTTTCCGATTCTGCTCTCGTATGGCGTGCCAGCATTTTCATATGATATAAACGGCAAGTCACTGTACTTGATCAGGTGCACAATATTAACAGTTACTAACTTATTGCAGGGCTCTCACCCTTACACGAATTGACGTATCAATTTGGTAACTGGGTTGGGGAAGCTGTCGAGGCTCTATCAAGGGCCAACTGTGAAAGCCAGCCGGCCATCTCGCACCGGAGTCTCCATGACATTTCCTATTTGCCGGTGTGGTCAGACTTTAGCATTTTGTGTGTCGACAAGTTCCCTAAGGTTACGATAGGTGCGGCCATTCCCCAAAACTTACTCCATACACCTGACTAATTGAGCACCAGCATTTGAGTGCGGCCCTCTAAGCACAGCAATCATCAACAATGATTCAGATGAAGTAGATCGTGTTCTGAGGCGTTTTCCCGACTCCATAACTGAACTTGATATCTACGAGCGAAGTCCACTCCATCTCGCAGCAGCAAAGCCAGAAATCCTCGCGAGGCTCGTAAAAAGTGCGGATCTCAGCATTCTGAATCAGCGAGATAGGAAAGGTGCCAGTGCGCTCGAATTAGCTATGGCATTTAGCTCACGGCACTGCGTCAATGGTGTACAACGCGTAAGGTGCAAAAAGTGTTCCTGCTATCTCTGCGCAAAGATTCTCCTAGACGCTGGTTGCGATCTAGTGTCAATGTCTGTAATGCCGGGTACCCCTCATTATCTGCTACATCTGAATGATGTCCTGGAGGCCTCATCAGAGCTCGCTCGGCGTCATTACATCTTCCAAACGAGCAAACGCCGAAGGCTGCAGAGAACAGGACACGTTTTGACAAATAGAAGTCTATCCACAAAGCAAGAAGTCGGCGAAGAGAGGACGACAAGCGACATTCAAAGAGGCATCTCACAGGCCCCAAGACAGCGGCGAATCTACAATGAGGCTGAAGAAGCCATAGAATCTATGTCAGACTGGATATTTCAGCAAATCTGGTCTGTCCACCTGGCCCAGTTGTTCTATAGGCATGGATTCATGCCAAAGCCATCTGTGTTTCTCCAGCTTCTCCAGTCGAGAACACCCTCACTTTGGGATCGCCTTACTCCGGAGATTGTTTGCTGGCTTCTGGAGCATGGAGGAGATCTCTTCTTGCGATCGCCTGCAGGCCCTGTCAACAAGACCGCCGATGACGGAGTGTTCGCCGCGCACTACGTCTTTTACCAATTAGGCAGAAACCATTTTCTGTGGTTGCCAAGCTATCTAGCGGCGGCTCCAGTGTCGGCCATCTTCGAAAGAATCACTGTGACCTGCCTTAATCTTACGGACGGCTGCTGCTGTCCCTGTTCGACAAAAGGATGCAGCTCATTTACGTGGTTGATGAAGGGCTTCGCTACACATAAAAATGGATCAGCAACGCCAGAGCAAGCATGTTTAGATCACGCTCGCAGGATAGCTGATCACTTCAAGTCATGCGGTCCCGAGTTGACACTCGCAACTTATGAAGAGGCCATTAGGTTCATGACATTTGAAGCACTGGACCTCTTTCACAGCTGTTGCAACACACGTTCTGTGGTCGATGAGGGTGCGGCTTGGGTTGACATAGATGATACGGAGGTCATCGAAGAGCAGGGTCTCCTCCTTGAGTTGCATGAAGAATTGGTTGTAGAATTCACTCGTGAAGCTAGGGGATATCTGGGAGATGGGCCAAATGGTGGGATATTGTCCACTCAGTTTTGGAGGTCATACTGGACCGATCGAATGACCGAAGAGTTAAAAAAGCTGAATGGGGGAGACTTGACTGCTACAGAAAGACGGGATGCAGAGGAGATCGGCGTTATATGGGACGAATCAACCGAGGGCGACGAGGGCGACAAATGCAAAGGTGGGAATCCGTACGACCGTGGTGATGTGGAGCACTACTGGTTTGAGTTGGATCTCATCTGCCCCGAGTACAATGAGCCATGGCCAGAGGGATTGCGCTGCATTCATTGATATGTGGTCTGGAGACTGGTGCAAATATGAAGAACAAGAGACAGAATCAGGCGATCCTTCAAATGAAATTATCGCTCTGGTCAAATGCTTCAACCTTGTGGAATCTCAACTTAAAAAACGTGTTGCAGCCTGTTTTCGTCACAAAAGTGGTGCTTAGGTAGGTAGAGATTGAGCGACTGCATTTCTATTGACCCTTACATGTGATTCATCGTTATCACTGTGCCTCAAGTTCCTGAAGCAACATTGATTGCATCAGGCTTTAGGAGGCAGCACCGTCGGCACAGGAGGCCGTGTCGTTGTTCTAGGCAACTCAGGCACAACAGGGGTAGGGATACAAGCGCAAGCACTGCTAACCCTCTCAACAGGGCTCTTGTCCTTGTTCTCGACACAAGCGCTGGTGGCATACTCTGGCAGCAGTTCCTCGTCCGTGTTCAGTCGCTGCGTGAAGTTGCCGCAGAACTCGACGGACTCCTCCAAGCGATCCGGGATGGACGAAGCCCGCAGAGCACGGAGGCAGTTATCCGCGTTGCACACAGGCGCCTTCGGGCACTCCTTGGAAGTCATCTTGACGACGAAGCTACCGCGCTCGATAGTGTGGACAAAGATGAAGCCGGACTTGAAGTTGGCGTACGATGACCAGGAACCGGCGAACTGGACCTTGCCGCCGCCGACTTCCTCATCGTCTTCGGGGTAGATATCGAAGAAGCCGGCTTCACAGATGCTGGCCCCAGTGGGGTCCTTGGTGACGCTGCTGACGTCGATGACGTTTAGGCCGTTGCCGTAGTTGGACTGGTAGAGGTAGCCGCCAACAATATACTGGTTGTGGTCGATGGAGCGGGTCTTGCCGGCGTAGTGGCCGGTGTATACGGGCTTCTCGAGGTCGCGGATGTCAAAGATGTGAGTGGTGGGAAGGCCCTGAGTCATCGGGCCAACCTTGGCGTCACGCTCGTCGAACTCGTCGTCGAGGAAGATGTACTCTTGCCAAGTCTCGTTGTTAACGACACCCTGGTGGACGTACTGAGCGCCGGGGTAGTCGCTGATGGAGATGATGTTGGTGACGTTGCCGGTCTTGTCGGTGACATCGTAGATGGTCAAAGTGTCTTCGTTGTAACCGTAGCAGATATCTCGGCCATAGTAGCGGGTATCGGGGCCACGGTAGACGAGGCACTCGGCGTCATGGACGTAGCCGTCGCCGGCTGCGCATCCGGGGCTAGTGACGTTGGTGGGATCACTGATGTCTAGGAAGATCAACCCGCCGCGGCAGGGGAGGTTGTCTCTTACACGAATCGTCGCGTTACCACCGACGGAACCGCAGGCAATAGCGTAGTTGAGCTCTTGGTTGACGACGATGTTGTGGGTACGGCCGACGGGGAGCTCGTCCCAGTGGCCGGTGAGCTCGGCCTGGGTGAAGTTCTTTGGGTTCGCGGGGTCGAGGTCGAGGATCTTCTTCATGTCGAAGAACTGGACGCCGTGCTTGATGGCCTCGGAACCAATGACGGCAATGTCACCGACGATTCGGATTTCTCTCCAGTTGGAACCGATGGAGTCGTACTGAGGCAGACGGCCCAAGTATACCAGCTTGCCCTCCTTGCTAATTTCAGCAAAGGCAGTGCCGTCGTATTGGCCAATGGCGACGAATTCTCTCCCGTCTGCCGAAGTCCAACCCCAGGAAGATGAACCTCTTCCGCCCCAGCTGCCGAGCTGCTCGTGAGACAAGAAGTGGTACAGATCGATCTGAAGGGTATTAGTTGAGCATTCGAGAGGAGCTTGGTGAACTCACATTTCTGCATCTGAAGGTGTTGTTGAAGTCTCCGGGAATTGCGGCAGCAAAGCCGTCAACGCAGGGAGTATAGCTGAGCTCGGGGTATTTGGCACTGTCCATGAGGCCGGCGGCAGCTTCCTCTTCCCATTGAGCCTATCATGTTATTAGAAACTTTTGATCAATGCGAGAGGTGATTGTGGGGCACAACTCACCATCTTGATGCCCATGATGCGATGGTGAACGGCACCGGACGCGTACTCAGCCTTGGTACCAGCGCCAGCTGCGCTGGCCAAACCAACAATGGCAGAGCCCAAAAGGGCTGCAGAGTTGATGCGAACCATGTTGACAGTATTTTTGTAAAGTGACTCAGCCCAAGAGTACCACTACTTGACCCAGACTTGGCGATGAGACTGGGAGTGCTCCGAGCTTCCCCAAAGCAGAGTAGCCACTCGATCTATAAGTACTCGACATCCTCAATTGAGTTCGTCATCATCCAAGACCAACTAATAAGACGGCCTTTCTTGTCCCCCGCATGGCAGACGTTGGTGTGGAGAATGCCATGGCAGTCGTGATTTTAGGGGAGGCTGGCGAAATCCAGGCACGCGGCCTTACATCTCGCCCATCGAACCCGAGCGGAGGGAAGCACCAAAGGTTGACCGATACTACCGTAAAAGCTTGGCCAATATGAGAGTACATGATAAGCAGAGCTTGGTTCCATACGATAGGGACCAAGCTGACCTTGGCGGTCTTGGCGACCCCCCAGCCGCCTAAGCTTCGTAGGCGTGCGCAGCAACTGTCAATTTGGTCCAAGAAGCTCGCCGAGCACCTAGTTCCTCGAGCTGTCTGCTTATGGAAGGTGATTAAAGGCTTGGCTACTTACGGTGATAGGCAGGTGCGTGATATTGGAACTCTGACATGACCGAGTAGTTGGGTCAGTTGATTAAGTTTGAAAGGCGGGGAACTCTTGAGGCTGTTGATGAGCGATTTTTTGGGTGGCAAGTGTGTGGACGCCGCGATTATGCTTCTTGTCTCACTGCATAGGAACTTTGGAATTCTGAAATCCTTCACGGATTGGTAATAGTCTTGCACAAGAAGCTTCTCTTGATAGGCCCCTCTCGCCTCCTTTAGGTAATATCTGTTTGCCTTATAGCCATGCCCGTAGTTCGCCACTGCATCGTCAAGAACTTTTGAAACTCTAACACATGAAAATAGGGATGAACTATCAGAGTAGTCAATCATTTCGCTGTTTCTAGGTGGGGAATTGATGGTTACTGCCTGCCGAGCATCTTACAGGCTGTAAAGAAGACTCGGGTCGCTTACTAGTAAGGGTAAGGTAAGTAAGAAAGGAACCATAGTAGCCTTCTAAGTAATGTTGACATTATATCAGATCAAGGTCCCATGTACCCAGCGCCTCAGCTTAACTTATGTTAAGGCGCAGTGGGTTTTGTTCTGGAATTCAGTGGCTACCAGATTGTGTGTCTTGCGACGTATTTCGAATTTACCAGGCTCTCCAATCAAGCGATCCTACTGCCATTCTTTACTTATAGAAATAACTTCTTCAAGACTCAAGAAGCCCTTTTCGCAAGATCGTCTTTGCTTTCTCTGGGGTTCTCACCGCAATTTTCTGTCGTTTCTGAGTGAAATTTATCGCACCATATCGCAACAAGCCTCCAAATGTGCCTGGTTGGCAATCTGCGCCTGGTCTATCATCCCATACACTTCCAGGTTGTAGAGAGTTCACGAGGCCTGAGCCTCGGGATATCTTTTGCATGCTTGTCTCAGAAAGCAGTGTCCACACCAACTTGGAGGCCTCTTTGTGACACTCTGACTCTGGGTCAGTGTCAAGACCGAGCGCTAACAACTCATAGAGATGCTCCCCGAAGTTCTCCCCACCGATGAGAGTCTTCGCAGCCCAGTGCTCCTGTAGCACGTCGATGGCGAGGACGTGCGACATCCAGTACTCAGATGCGTTGAAAGAATCGTCATCGCCCCCCTCGACCATGCACACTCGTGCCCAGCACGCATTCTGGGCGACGTAATCCAGGAGCTCCTCAAAAGAGACCTTGAAGTCCCACTTGAAGCCCTTGCTCTTGGATTCAGAGAGGGAAAAGGATTCTTTCACGTGGCTTAACAGTGGATGAGTGTTTATACCCTCACTAGTCTCACGGTCTTCCCAAAGATGAACAAAAAGGTCGTGCCTGGGGTAGTCAGCATAGTACAAGATATGATCAAGAGACTTGCTTCCTCTGCTTAATACATCCTCATGGAGTGGAAGTGTACTTACCATCTTTTGACAAACGGGTTGCCCTTTCTCGACGCAAGAAAGTGATTCGCCAAATACTGCGCAAATTGAATTGGCGCGGCGATCTCGTATGGTAACTCAGGATCCTCTAAGACAGACCACAAACCACGATCCAAGTCACGGAAAAGAATGCATCCAACATCCATTTTCACACCGCCGTAGGTGTACAACAATGCCCCAGTGATCATATCAGATGAATGCTGCCCGACATGCTTTCCAGTCATGGTGCCCTCGATAAAGCATCTGGGAAGCATCTCCTTTGGTGCGAACGCCAAAGCATGATTTGGCGACCCTGGCACGTTGTCAAGAACGCGAACAGTCCAGTCTGGACCGCAGATGCGAACCCAATCAATCACGTTGCGCCTACACCACGATGGCAGTTGATCAATTCCGCCATCCCAGTAGGCCCATACGTTCTTCTCGCCTACAACAGGTACGTGGCAGCGTAGAGATTCAAAGATCTCGTCGTCCGATCGCTGGTCGTGAGCATTGATCACCTCCAATTTGTCTTTGAAGGCTGGAGGTATCGCATATTGCAACATGATGTCGGTAATGTGCGACTATGCGAATGATGGGCAGGTCGGTAGTTGAGTTAAATGCCGTCCCTGAGGTAAAGCGATGCTGGGTGCTTTTGGATACCTACCGATTTAAGAGGAGGCCGGATCTACCCGTGCGAATAAGCGCTACTTTAGCGCTGATGTTTACTTCGAGCCGATGCTTTCGATCGTCTGGCGTCTCTCAACTGAGGCGCTAGGCGGGAGGATGTCACTCTGAGCTCCGAGACATCTAGGATCAAATGATGTCAGATAAGGTAAGGTACCAAGCAAGGAAATATAATCAAGAGAAGCAAGACCGGCAGTCCGTTCTTTACGATGTGTCTTCACTGCTTACATACATGTGCTTTGTCGCCCGCATTGGTCTATATAGAAGCTTAAGTCATCCTGAACTCGACTCCAGCAATGAAACAGAATATTCCTGTGGTTGTTATCGGCCTCGGGCGTGGGCGTGGAATCAGCGATATTCCACCAATTCTCGAGAACCCGCCTTACTACGTCGCTGCTTGCATGGACCTCACCGAGGTAGATGAAGAATACCGCTACAGTCCTCATAACCTTGGTGTCATCCTGCATAACCTTCATCCAAGGCCCTGGGCTCTCCTGATTGGCATCGCTGTTGACCCTTCTTACACGCAACCTGTAGAGCGCGTGTGGAACGAGTATGTGGAAAAAGTCTTGAAGCTCGAGAAGAATGCATCGAGAGGATGGTAGGAAAACGTCCGCGTCTCGGTAGGTACCTATTCTCCCAAACAACACTGGCATGATCGCTCACGAGTAAAAACTTCCCAGGACACATTTCGTCGACCCTCAAAAACCCGAGACCTGGTCAGAAGTCAGGAGTACATGGCAGAAGGAGATGTTTCGTCAGCTGGATGGGGCGTTTCTACCCAAATGAGCTAGCCAGACACACATGATATCTAAATGAAGCGAGTTGGGTATTAATCACGAATTGAACTGACATCAACGAAAATTCATTTTCTCAGAGTTCTTCACTGTCATGTCCATGATGTACTGAGGAATGTGTCGTTGCAACTCATCCACGACATCCTGACGGCCACTGTTCAGATCACTTGGCAGCACATCGGTCCTACTAGAGGACTGATTGCTACTTGAAGTTATGTACTTCTCAAAAAACTTGGATCAATCGCATCACTCGTTCCAATGAATGGATGAAGATCCGAGAGAGAGTACTCATAACACCATTGTGGTAAATAAGGCGTAATTGCTGGCTGGCAATTACGGATCCGTTTTTGTACTACAACCATCTAATAAAAGGGACTCGCAACTTCTATAACATCTCCTTAGATGATCTCATTCCTTCTCGTAATGATGTCAGAGCGACTTCAGCTGGAGTCTGTCAGCCTACTTGCTTACTTCGTTTTTGACATAAATCGCCTCAATGGGACAGTATCGTCCGAAACCGGATGCCCCAAGTCCAAGCGGCGAATGTGGGTGGGAGCACAGAGCACTCTCGACCTGTGCCGAATCATTCGCAGAGCCTCAAGTAAGATTGATCGACGGTAGGATTATTTTAGCTTTGCAGGTTGACGAGAAGGCGGGGACTATTCTTTTTGCCCTTTGCCCTTACATTAGTTTGTTGAGTGACTGCGGATTTCTTCTGGTTGTAAGGCTTAGCTTGAGCACATACCTAAGCTTATTGTTCGTCTAACTAGAAGGTTCTCACCGGACCCGACCTCCATCGCGTTTCTCGGACGCCGTCTCGGTGTTTAACATCGCCTGCCTAGGGGTCTCCTTGACCGAAGTCCTGCGTTCCCGTGTTGGGTCACCGGAATTCTAAGACGGGTATTTCTCCACTTCGAAGAGCTGCTTCCGTGCTGGTCTAGACTTTCGCAGCGGCTGCTTGCCTTTTCTCCCCCCATTCTCTTCTGATTCCCTCCCGCTGTCTCCCAACCTCCGATCAAACCATGGTGCGGGGCACGAATCGCGTGATCAGATTAGGACCGCCTCGGTTTGCAGACCTGAACTCAAATGGGTAGGAGAGTCAGTGAAATCTCCCGCAGATGCCCGATTAGGACAACACGAAAATTACATATTAACCTGTCAGCTTTGAGGATGCAAGAGATGATAGTTTCTGTCGACCGCACTTTTGATTGTGCAGCGCAGTGCATGTACGCAAGCAGGGTTGCTTGTCAGCGTCGGTAGCGTATCTACCGGTAACCCCATCGAGGGTGCCCGTCATGAGATCACTCAGATCTTGAGCTCCGACCAAGATCATAGCATCTGTGTGGTTTCCAATTCCGAGCCGTCAGAAGGGCCTAGTAGCCCACCATCTGCGGCCAGTAGATGAGCTCCGGTAGCGGTGTCTCAAAGTTTTGTAAAGAAGAAGGAACGTGAGATGCGATAGGCGAGAATGATTACAGAGACCTTGATCATCATCTGTTCTTACAGTCATTGTATCGGATGGCCAGCTTGGGCCAAGGGTCCAACGACCTCTAGGCGACGGCTCAATGACTTCACCGAACCCGAAGAGGTGGATGTGACGGGCAGTCAAAAAAGCCCGACGATGGAGGCTTTCTCCCACTGATCCCTCATTTGATCGAGCCCATGAACTGCGCGAAACCACGGGCGGGGAGCCTTGACGGCGGTCTAGACAATGAAAGACGAATAGATCCCCCCTCTTTCAGCCGATGCATGGCAGAAGCTACCCATCGTCTGGTGGCAGTTTCTTTCCATGGTGACGTAGAGTTGAAAGGGGAGATGAAGGGTGCACCCAGGACTTCACGAACGTTGCATAGCGAAAGCGACATCCCTATTTCATCACATCCCACCAGTGGCCACCCTCTTCATTCAAGAATGGAGGGTGACATGGGAAGTAAAGCCCCCGTCCATCCCGAGGGAAGGTGCTGGGCATTTATTCGCGGCTCTTGTTGTCGAGGCATCCGGATGTTATATGTAATATAGGATCAGCAGATAGGTTGACGAAGTCTTCCCCTGTTGGTGACGACTTTAAAAGTATAAGTTGCGAGTCTACTCGGAAACATCAAGTGTCTGATTGGTCAAACATGTAAGATGGTGTCCAGAGTCTCCCACCCAACCGTGTTTCATGAGGGGGGTCTCAGCACCAGTTCGCGGGGAGCCCATAGTTCCCCACGGGGCCCCCAACTTGTATGCTTGTATGGGTTCAAGGGCATGGCTTCGATGAGAAACTTTGTGGTTACAGACTGAACCCCGCGTGGCATCATGCTCGACCCTTGCTTCTGCCCAGAGATTTGGGATTCACGCCGGCGCGATGGTCCGTCACAAAGTCGCCGATTCTATGAATTTCGGCTCTTTGGTCAATTTGGGGTCAGGCTGGCCGTTACCTCATCTACCCTTAGCCCTGTTCGTCTATCAAGACCCGTTCATATTGTAGCTGAATTTGCCTCGGCGTCACGGCTCGTGAAAGTCTCATTCCGAGTATTTACGTGATGGCTTATCCCACGATCTTATCCGCCAAGTCCGAGCCAAAAATCCCAAAGCAGACAATTACCTATCACGAGATTGTGCCATCATTTTCTAAGCAACTCTGCCCCATTCGTTTACTTTCCGACTTATCCCAAATCGCCTATCAATATGAGGCTCTACATTCTCCTATCATTCCTTCTCTGCCTTGGCGTGGCCAGTGCCCAGATGGCGATGCCAATAACAGAGGCAAAAGGCCGCGGCGGCAGAGACAAAGACAAAGGGAAGGGAGGCAAAGGTGACAATCAGCCTGTCAGAGGGGGAGCTGCTGCCCTCCAAAACCAGATCGCAGATCTTCGAAAGCGGGTTGCCGAAGCCAATGATACAGTTGTCCCCTTCGAGGGAGGCACACTCAAAGGCTTGGTGGGGCTGCTGAAAGTAAACGAGGCGATTGTCACCCTTGGAAGTACCATCGATGTCAGCACAAAGTCCGCAGAGGCCACCAACACCCTGCCGGCAAACGAATCGTAAGCCGCTGTTTCTTGAAATTCTCCGATGGGAAACTGGAATGTCTGTGCTAACCCTGTCACTTGTAGGACCCAGATCGGCACACAGTTCCTTAGTCTCCAGCCGGAGATCAACAACTTGTTGACTGAGGTCCAGGGTAAGCGTCCAGAGTTCGACAAGGCTGGCTTCAGAATCTTGGACGTGAGAAGTCTTATTCGCGACTCTGTGGTTATTCAAAAGGACAAGGCCGGAGATTTGGGTGGTGCAGTAAGTTAAACGTCTTCTGTGATCCAGAGAAGTGCCTGTCTGACTCTTGCCTAGTTTACCAAAGCGCTTGATCCAACTTTCCAACCCATCGCTACCCAGATTAGCGACCAGATTCAGGGCAACTTCACAGCCGCCATCGACGAGTACGATGGTCGTGCTGGGAAGATCAAGATCCCATCCAAGGCCGTGCCTGTGCTCACTGATCTTCTTGCCGGAGTGGCAAGAGCCCTTGGTGTCGGCGACAGAAACAAGGCTCTTGCGGGTCCTGTCACCGAAGCTGAAGCTGCAGCTATTCCGATCACCAACTTTCCCAACGCGGAAGCTGCCTTTGCGGATATCAGTGCCGCTGATACACCCGAAGCAAATATCGCTGCTCAAGAAGCCCTCAGGGGAAATGATGACTTTTCCAGACTTGGCCCCGATGAGAACGATCTACGAGGCATTCCGCCCCTGGTACTTGCTGTTCTGCGCAGATATGAAATTATCTAGAGAGGCGACACGGATGTGTTGAAGCGATGGTGTTTTTCTTGGCTGCCTTAGCTGCAATTTTGCGGCGACGATTACAGTTCTCAAGTGCGCAATGATGAACGCAGTAATGAATCTACGAACCTTCTAGTTCTTAGTTAATACCCTACGATGAATATACGGGTTGATCTATGTAATATTATGTTTTGAAACACTCCATAAGTCGTGCTGTTATTCAGTCCATTGCAAATATAATCTTACAGCTCCTGTTCATCAGAGGTGGAGCTCCCACCAAACGTCTAACTAAAGGCAACAAGGGCTTGAAGGAGATCAATACCCTATCGCTAATGCGATGCAATGAACCTGCTTGGCCTGCGACTCTCGGCGAGAATCCCCTATTTTCGAACTCTTGGAAACCCCGCGCGCGCCGGCGCCGAGCTTATTATCACCGACGTTATTGAGTCGGACGGCATAAGAGTTTGCTAATCCAGGAACAAACGAGTTTAGTTTGAGCTGCCCCTCACGCGGGGCACTTCCGATGACGGGCCAGTCAGCAATGCCGGGCGAATTTTGCATTTTGAGTTCGGTCCACCTGACCCTTGTTCAACTTCCTACATCTAGGTAGTCGTGGTAGTCTCCGAAAATGCGGAAGCAACCTGAGCTAGGCCATGTTTAGCCAATGAATTGAGGTTACCATCTTGGCTTGCTGACGGTGCCGATGGAGCACAGTCTCGGATGAAAAAGAGGGGAAATACCCAAGGAGGAGGCTGAGAGAGACAGGCCAAGAAGAAGAAAAGAAAAGGAATGTGTCCCTCACGCGGATGGGCTTGGACTCGAATGTGACCATGACGTTGTCCATCACACCCACCACAACCGATTCGTCTGAAACTTCCTTATGTAGTGCCGGTGGTCCGGTTTAGAATTTTCTTCACCGCTCTCTTAACACAACGAATTCTTTACGCGGCATAGATGTTGACATCAGTCATCGATCGGCCTTCAGTGTCCGTTCACCCAACCCATCTGATATACTTGCGCTGCCCCAACTGTCCTAACGCGGAGTGCATAAAGAA